CCCGAGCCCGCAGTCGATTATTTTGAGAAAGTAGAGAATTTCGTTTACTTGGGAACCAGCATTAACCCCGATAATAATGTCAGCATTGAAATCCAGCGCAGAATCACTCTTGCCAACAAGGGCTGCTTTGGACTGAGTAGGCAATTCCGGAGTAAAGTCCTCTCTCGACGTACGAAAACTACGCTCTATAAGTCGCTCATCATGCCCATGCTGGTATATGGCGCATAAGCATGGACGATGACAACATTCGATGAGGCGGCGCTTGGAGTGTTTAAGAGAAAGATTTTGTGGAATTTTTAAGGGCCTTTACGCGTTGGCGACGCCGAGTACCGCAGACGATGGAACGATGAGCTGTATGAGCTTTACAACGACACGGACATAGTGCAGCGAATTAAAATACAGCGGCTCCGCTGGCTTGGCCATATCGTTCGAATGGACACCGACGCTCCAGCTCTGAAAGTATTCAACTCGGAACCCGCTCGTGGTAGCAGAGAAAGAAAGTCCCCCACTGAGATGGAAAGAGCAGGTGGAGAAGGACTTTGCTTCACTTGGCATTTCCAATTGGCGTCAGTTGGCACAGAGGAGAAACGACTGGCGTGCTTTGCTGAACTCGGCCAAAATCGCTTAGGCGGTTACAGCGCCAAAAAAGAAGAAGAATGCTTTGTATTTTGACGTTTTCCAATGCACCCATATTTTGCAAGTTATGGCATAAGCGATTTTTATGGTATTTTTTCTTCGATTCATAATCTATTTAGTCGAATTGGATGAAATTTTCAGAGCTATTCCTCGTATGTCAAAGTTTCTATTAACATCCGCTTTTAAAGCAAATTTTTATTTTTTTCCTTTTTATTAATATTTATGTTACAAAAGCTTTTGCAAAACATCGTTCTGAAGCAACAAAAAATTTGAAAAAAATTTGAAATTTTCTTCCAGCCTTATTAAATAACATGTGCAAATTTCGAAATGTGTGTGTATTGCATGGATAGCGTCTTTGAATTCTCGAGTTTTGAATCAAACTTTTTTATTTATTTTATCACAGTATATACAGTGTGCCAAGTAATGATGTTTAATTTTTCTCATATCAATATTTGACAATTGCTTGAGTGTGTTAAGCAGAATATAAACAATCAGACTTGTATGCATACTTGGTCGCTTGTCAGTTCAGTATACACCTATGCGACACGTTGTTCAAACTTCATTTCGTTGTAATCGTTGAAGTGAACGAACATAACGGCATACGGATCTACGTCTTCCCAGCAAGTATTTATAGGCACAAATTATTCATACTGGACTCTTATTGCCCTCACATGCGGCTCGTTATTGAGTCAAATTTGTAGGTTTTTTGATGAATATACTAAGACCGTTTTTTTTTTCAATAAATAATTTGCTTTTGTGGCTTTTCTTTACGGCCACCCACCGCCCCTCTCCTCCGGCAACACAGAAAGCAGAATTCTACTTAGTAAGGGTTTAATCCCTAAGCGCGGCCGAAGACCGCCTGCGCAAAAGGAACTTAAAAAAAACGCCACCGGAGCCTGACGCCTTTACCTTTATGCACTAGAAATGGAATAAAGCATGGGTGGGCCCTCTCTTCTCCGGCAACACGGAAAGACTCAAGTCAGTGCCTTCATCTACTCAAAACAAGCGAAAATTTAGATTTTCCCCCATTTTTGTAAGGCAGCCGGGAAGGAGTTGCATTTCTGTAAACAGCGGCTCATGACCGTGCCTCTCCCGCTCCGCCCACCGCGCACACAACGTAAAGGAAAGTTTCCGAAAGTTTCTGTCATACATATGTATATGGAAGTATGTGTTAGTATCTGTGTTATACATATCGTCAACTGAAATGGAAAAAGTCGTAAAAAGTAACTTCAATAAAGTAGAAAAATTCGTGACTAATATTTTTTTTTTTGATAATACGATGTGAGGAGTTGTAATTCGATGAAATCCATCATATTAATCAAAAGTGAATTTTGAATTTTTTATCAGTTACGACTTTTTGCATTTCAGGAACGGTGTTTTTTCCGTCGTATTGCATTTCAGGTAACGATATATGATATATGTAGTTACATAAAGATATAAATAAAAAATGTAAACTATTAAAATTTATTATTTTAATGATTAATCCTTATAATCTTCTGTAAAGATATAATGCGAATCAGTTTAAGAAATAAAATTGACTTATTTGTTACTCCAAATGTTTGCTGGGTTTGTACTTTGCTATACACATATGAAGTTTTATCTGCATTGTGT